TATTTAGAAAAAGTTTTGGAGATTTTTCGAGGTTTCTGGAAAACCAGTTTTCCAGAGACCGACTAGAAAACGCCTGCGGGGGAAAATGGCTATCATATTCGGCATTAGCATGGTCGATTACCTATTGTCCACTAGGCTTTAAGCCAAAAGCGATGGGGCAGTTGGTGGCCTTCCCTCGTGAGTATGGAAAATCCGATATTCTATCGATGCTCAATTCATTTAATATGACTTACGTAACATAGCATTGACAGATTTTTTTTTAAGACTCGGTTTTTTCATTAAGAAAATAATTAATCTGTTGACGCAAACAATGTACAGACGCGATGTTTATACTCGAACTCTGATTCATTTTGTCCGTTAGTCATAAGATAATAAATGGGTGGATTACATTTGCATATTTGAACTGGAATAAAATTAATTATTAAGAATCTGTAGAATCTACACTAGTATCTGGCGTCGAAGAAGCATAATTAAGAGTACTGTGTAATAAAATCGCGCGGAGATTCGCGCAGTGACTCCAAGTTAATGTTTTATACCACCAGATCGAAAAATTTTAAAAGTTTGTTTAATCAAAACCGATTGAGGATTCGTCTTCTCCATAGTCGATTATCTGGTACGAGATAACTTTTGGATCAGGATACTTTAGAAAAGATTTTCAACATCGTTTTGCGTTTGGTTCCCCATATAGTAACTTTTTGAAAAAATTTTTAGCAAGACTATGAGAAACTTTTTTTCTAAAGCACCTCAATCCAAAAGTTATCGCGTACCCGATAATCGACTATAGAGAAGACGAATCCACAATCGGTTTTGACTAAACAAGCTTTTAAAATTTTTCGATCCGGTGATATGCTTCACTCTTTCGTGAGAATTCTACTTGAACTGAAGACTAACTTGATGCACAGGACTAATAAAGTCGGTTTTTGTTAGAGAGTCTTCGATCCAACAAGTTTTTGTGTAGAAAAGCTTTTGAATAAAACTATATATATAACCATATATATCGACCTGATGCGATAAATATCTGATAAGTTTTTTTCGAATGGACGATCGTTAATCGTTGATGTTAATGATGATATCGCTTCCATGTTGAATACAGCGATTCTTCAGCTCTAATTCTGATTTTACAAAAAAAATGTGACATCTTGACATAGACAGTGCCGCCTCAACTAGAGCTAACAGAACAACCGCACCCTTATTTTCTTTTATAATATTGATCCTGTGAATTACTTTGCTGTGAATCCAGCTCTAAAAAGATCAGGTTAGCTCCTAACCTCAGCAAATATTGATTAATTAGTGATTAGTAATAAAGAAAAAGAATGCGTCGGAAAATATAACCTATTCACTTTTTGGGAGAGCAAAAAACACATTTCATTGTCTCGGACGCGTTTGTTTGTATTCAAATTTTTGAAGACGTTTAGTAGTTCCAAAAGTATAGCTGAAAATGTCTCAATGGGTGAAATCAAGAATGAAAACTTTTGTAGCAGATATACCACCCTTTTATTTTGTATTTATAAAGATAAAACACTTCGTTTCTACCTAGAAGACGTTTTTGCTTTCAATATAGTTGTGTATTTTCATCTGTTTTCTTGTAGATATGGCGTCAGTACACGAAGTATGTTTTAAAAAAAACCAAAAGAGTTCATGTGGAAAATGTTTGTGTAATGTTCACGGTTTTGTGTTTTAGACGCGCCCCACAAATATTGAACTTTATAGTACTGAAACGCCGAAGAAAAATACAGACAGTACATTACGTCATTTCGACTATGAAACCTACTATAAACATAAGGAAAAAGATCCAGAACATCACAATCCTCTTTTACAATATTTGTCGGATACCGAATTAAAATTTCACAATGATAATATTTACGAAGCATCACCATACGGTTTACCACGACGCACTGAGTACGTATTTGCCTTTAGTTGTCTTTGCTCTCTTGTATGAGTATGTTCTCGTTCAATGTTCCAGTATATTAAAAGATTATGTCAAAATGAATCCGAATTTTGAACATTTAAATCGTGTTTATGAACCAAATATGACCTTGATAGATAAACAACGATATAAACGATGTGTTTCACAGCAACAACAAAAATTACATCGAATTAAAAAGAAATTTAATTTTGTAACATATGACGGTTATACATCACATTATTTTTTAACAGGTGCTCGATATAATCGTTTTGATACTGTTGATTCAAAAATTTTATTAAAATATGGTACTTTTGTCAATCGAAATAATCCTGAACAAGTGGATATTAAAGCATCTCATTTTAAAAAATTTCGTGAAATATTACAAAATCAACGTTCATCGAGCGTCGATTTAAATTCGATACAAAATAGAGATGAACAAAAACAGCAACAACAGGATTTAGATGATTTAACAAATCGTTATGAAAGAAGTTCAAGCGGACAGTCAAGGATAAAACTACCATCAATTGGAAATGCTAAATATAGTAATAAATTACCAAAACTAAATGGTAGGACATATCATGGACGTGTAAATTTTTTTTTATTAATTTCGATGTAAAGAATATAAATCTTAACTAAGCATAACAAATGTTTTCTCGATGTTTTTTAGATCCCGGGCTCTATGTGGAAACCGCTTGTCAAATGCCCGAACGAAAACGAGGTAAGAAAGTAGTTCTCCACGTCTTCTGATGGAGGACTATTAGTACGTGTTGACTATATAATTATTCTTCACATAGTACTTGTTAATTCATTGTGTTTTTTCGGAAATTTAGGTCGTAGATCTGTTGATCGTTCTTCGTCACACCGTAGTAGTCGTTCTCGTCGTCAATCTCAGCAACAACAACAATTACATTCACAATATCAGCAACAATTACAACTACAACCAAGTAGCAAAGTGTCATTTTCACATGTTTCTGATAGTGTTAAAAATGATACTACCAAAATGATCGTTCGAGATAATACAACAATCTCAAACTCAAAAAATATTCTTATGGATGAACAAAATGCAGCAGGAGTCGAAGATAATGAAAACGAACATCTTCACCAACAATTTGATTTGAATTTAGAAGATATCAATAAGCCGATACCAGATGAAAATAGTAATGATAATACCGATGAAGTAGACAACAGTGAAGAAACAATGGTGATACTTCGTGAACAAGCAAATGTGTTAATATCCAATATTCTTTCAGCTGCCTTTGATCAATTGGCTAATCAAGAATAGAAAGTATACAACGTTACTCAGTGATCAATCAGTGGGATGATAATAAATTTGTAAAACTGAATAGAGAAATAATTGGTAATATATATGTAGGTCTTCCATAAACTTTTGTTGATAAAATCTAAAGGGAACAATGATTATCTGAACTGTGATATATATAATCATGAGATTTATATAGCAATCTCACTCAAAAATATATTATTTTACTGATATTTTTAAGTTTTTTTCAGAACAAAAAAAAATGTAAACAGTGATTATTTCGGTTTTTGCTTGTTGGTAGAACCGTTTTATATTATATACAATCTTTTTTTCGTATCTTCACCTTTTATTCTCCAAAGATTAATATTTATTTTTTAATTATATATTTTTTAAAACTTAGACAAATAAAGTTTATACACTTATATTTATATAGACTGAAGGCATTAGTTATCAAAACAACTCTGCTAAATTTAAATGTAATTTACTTGAAGTTTTTTTTAGCTCTTATGAATCTATCGCCTATGTATGAAAATATTATATTCAAAGTTTCAACATTTTTTTTTTTTGATGAGTCAATCTATATGAGAGGAACATTGATTATGAAATAGAGACTATCGAAAGGATTTGTTAATTAAATGAAAAGAGTTTTGAAATAATCATGACTACATTTCGACGATTTAAGGGCAATACCTTCAGAATAAAAGTGATTAATACAACAACTCGTTTTAGACCCATTGTGTGTTTTATTAATAAATTGTTAAATAAAATTTTATTTCGACGTTTCGAGAATAGAATTTCACATTTTCAAGGATAACAACATTTTGAAGGAGAGAGAGATGTTTAACGTAACTGAAGATTCAGAAATAGCTATGATTTTGAAAATATGTATAAGATAAACGTAGGAGAATGATTGAGAGAAATATTTCTTTTTGATTGGTAAAAATAAGTGTACAAAAATAAAGATAGAGATAAAAATATATGTACACGACATAACATGTGGAATGTACAATTTTGACAAAAATGAACACTTTATCCCTTTGGATCTTTTATTAATGTTTTTGAAATACCCCCAGAAAATATTGATAGAAGAATAGATCGTACAGTGTTATTCAACGCTGGTTTATGGCTTAATATTGTAAGGGATTCTTTCAGCACTGTCCTTTAATAACACGTTGAATCCGTCCCAGTCAATTTCATGTCCTGTGCCAAGAAAATGTTTAGAGCAGATTTCTTTTATGAAGTAGTGAGAGATGAATAATCAGAACCCTCATTGTCGGAGAGCGAAGGGGGAGCAGTAGGTGTTTTTCGGGTTTGATTGACTATCCGTAAAGAGCGTCGTATATTGTTTGAAGTACTGTAGAATTTCATTCTTGTTTTAGTTCTAGTGTTACGAATTGGTCCAGCTACATTTTCTGTACGCGGTAACGAGATTTCAAGTGAAGAAGAACTAGGTTTCAGAACACATTTTGAACGTCATATCCATTAGTCTCCGACATCCTTGTCGCATTGTTTTACTGACATACGAACTATCATACCTCTTACATTTGGCGGCATATACTAGATCTGGCTGAAGTGAACTGTGAATGGTGTCTTTTTGTTGAAAAAACGACCCAACCCTTTCGGTGGTCGCTAAATTATGTTTAAATCTAATTTTTGTTTGAGTGTTTTGGTTAAATATGATAGGTTCTTATTATGGGAATTTCTGAAGAATTTTTAACAAAAGGTACATCCACTATTCATCATTTTTTCTTTTCGTCATTAGTATTTGTTGTATTATTACAATCGGAACATAATATCTTTGTCACAAGAACTCCTATTAAACTATCTACGAACGATAGTGGATACCTGTTGAGTTTTTTAATATGTCAAATTTCGTCTAGTTCATTTGTTAGTAATTTGTAAGTAGAGTATATACGTATGGCACGGTTAATCATGTTATTAACACAGTCCTTCTTATACCTCAACGGTACATATGAAGTCCAATTGCTCTTTGTTCATTTATGAGCAACGAACTTTTTTCTGTTGGAGGACGAAAGAATTAAATGGATCGAAATGTGTTTAATCGGACAAAAAAACAATAGAATAAAAAACTATCTCAAAAGTTTAAATTCGCGAAAATAAACGGTCTACATCATTTTTACAAAACAAAATCAGATTTATAAATCGATTCGAATTTTAGCAGAATATGACAGTTAGCTTTTGTTAAACGCAAAATGTTGATAATATGTTGATTGTTACATTTTTTATACATTTATCTGTTAATATCTCCATTAAAAACGTTTTCTACAGACAGACATGCTTAAAAAACTTAATTTGTGTTCTAGCTAATTGTTTATCGTCATTCGTCAACCTTTAAAAGTTCAGTGGAATGACTTTATCCTCTTAATAAATTACCGTTACATTATTTTATTAGACTACTAAACATGCTATTGTGTGCATTTTTTTCATTATTTATGAGAGTATTGAAACTTCGCTTAAATAAAAATAAAAAAATAACCGTCTATGATATACATTATTATTCTTCCGGCTAATCAACAATATAGGCTTCGTTCGCTCATAAACACCATTATTTGTGCACTGACAAGATCGGGTTTTGTCTCTCAGACAATACTCCAGCAACAATGATAACCATAAAGAAGAAAAATAAATTGTTGATATGTTTTTGAACATAACAGGCTTGCTCGTCTGATTGAATGCATACACATCTATCATCATTTAAACGGCTTCTGTTGACAATTTGCTATGGTAAAGTATGTATGTGTGGGTATGATGAGATTGAACGTCTGCGGGTATTATTGTTAGAGAGAAGAAAATACACGAGACCGTGGCTTGAAGCCAACTTTATTTTGCGTTATTCTTCTTTTTTTATGTTTTTGAACAACTAAGGTCAATCTGTCTGGACAATGGTCCCAACAATTAGAAAAGAAAAAGTTTTTTTAATTCAAACAAACTGGACGGTTAGTGTTTTCGTATTTTTTTATTCTTTTTTCCCTCATTGAACATTGAGAAAGAAAAAAAAGCAAGAATTGATCGGTATTGAACATACAAGATGTAATTTCTCTCGACTATATATATATATAGCCTTCGAATATCTGGATGAAAATTTTTCTTCATTCCTCAGTCTGTACAAATGTTTAATCGAGGAGAGAGAGAGAGAGAGAGAGAGAGAGAGAGAGGGAGAGCGAGAGAGAGAGAGAGAGAAAAAAAATCAGAAAAGGAGGTCAACATTCGGTCATACAGAAGAAGGAAAAATGAAAAATATTCTTTGTACATCCGTATATTAGCGGACCAAGACAATCAACAAACGGACATTTGTTAGATTTATCGTTCAAACAACGAAAGGGTCATGTTGCGTTCATTTTTTGTACATGAACAAGACACAAAACAGTTATAAACAACAAAAAAAACAACAGAAATTTTTTATAATGGTCGTCTGTTTTTTTTCTTCAAATTGTTTGATATTATTGTTGTTGTTGTGATTTTGATGTAGAATCGTCGATTGTTACACGTAAATAAACTTTATTCATTGAAAATTGCATGTATCGTACGTAAATTATTTGATTTGCACACGTTTATTATTTTCGCTTCCAATTTAAAATATCTATCTATATTTATAATAAGCATGTATTGTGATTGTTGTTTTGCTTTGTTTTTTTATTGAGAGTACGATCTCGCTGGTGATGATTGTGTATCTAGTAAATATGGTTTAAAAATATGACTAGATCCACACTCATCCTTATTGAGAGCACCCTCAGCGCACAGTGAATTAGTCGTTGTTGTTGTTGTTGTGAAAGCATGATCATCATCATCATCAAAATGTAGAAAATATCCATTATTCTATTTCTCTGAAATATATTTTGTCAACGTTAAGTGGAACTACGGTGGATTTAAAATATTGAAATTAATCACCGGGTTAACACTTAACCGTTGACGAAATAACTAATACTGAGAGAATCTTCTGTTCAAGTTTTTTCTTTTTGTTTCTTTTTTTAGGATTTTATGTATACTTTTTGTAAATGAACTTGTATAGGGATGAATGTATATCCGGTAACGTGTTAATTGAAATTCGTCACCGGGTATTAACATTCATTGCTTTAAAATTTTGTCAACATCAGAGTAGTGTCGACGAAAAATGAATAAACATTTTCTTTCTCAATTCATTTTTGATATAATATAAAAGCACGTTCGACAAGGCAGGTTCAACCACGGTTACATAGTGAAATATAATTCTGTCACCGGGTTTTCTTGCCTGTGAGAAAATGCATAATCATCCACATGTCTCTCAATTTGATATGTTTAGTTTTAATGTTGATAGTCGAATAACTATTTTAAACGTACGATATATGCGTTTTTTATATTTCGATAATCGTCGTTACACATATTTATTATACTATAAACAACAAAAACATTGAATTTATTTTATTGTCGATGATAACGTTACATCAATGAAAATTCGTCAACGTTTCAATGTTGAATTTCGACTGCAATCTTTTTTTTTGTAAATTGAATGTTTCAAATAAAATTTAACATTGTTTTAGTATCAGTATCAAAAATAAAATATTTTTTTGAATCCAATACGGTATCAACTGTTAGAAACATCTAACATATTGCTGATAATTAATGATAAAATCTAGCAATTGATTCGAACTGAAATGTTTTAAAAAATTAGGGTGACATATACAATGTTCTCCAGTTACAATTTCAGTCATGTACAGAAAAAGGTGATAATAATCGAGATTAAAGTAATAAAATTTTACAAAGAACAAAAGCTGAAGCATTCATCGCAATTCTAAAATCAAGAAGAAAAAAAACCCATAGAACTGTGCGGTCGACCTCTTCAATGCAAAGTTTTTATTTGTACAATATTTGTGAAATGTTTTGTTCAAGAGTATTCTTATTGATATATCAATGAGGTTTATCAGTATAAATGAGATGATTATATAAGTCTTTATTATGTCAGATCGATAATATTCTCATGACTTACTAAGTCTTACTAGATTTAACTAGGTGTCATGAAAATTAAAAATATTTTTAATTCAGAATTTCTATTAGTAAAATTTTTACAATGTTGTTATACTTTTATCTATTTATATATACTATTACACTGATCTCTTCAAATTGTCCTGATATCTTTCTTAAACCTGTTAAACATGATAAGAAAGAAATTGCTCTTATATTTATTCCCGGTGTTGAACTACCACCTGACCGACATGTACCTCTATTGACCAATCTTCAATATTCTTCTGATTATTTATTATGGATCGGCAAACCACAATTTCCATTTAATTTACCTACTGAACAAACTCCTCCACGTGTTATTGAGGAATCCCAAGCAGAAAAAAAATCGTGAAGCGAGCGCTTGCAGTTACCTAATCCAATTTTTAACCCATAAAAGCTAGCTTAAGTGAGTTGAAGCTAGTTGATGTGTTTGAATTGGACGCTAATCGCTCGATTAAGCGCCCACTGCATCGACCGCTTGAAGCTAGCAAGTGGACACTTGCTCGGGGACTTGAACTATTTGATAAGCTAGATTTCCTTGCTTACTTTTTTCTGCCTGGGATGTTACAACAAATGGAAACGGATATTTATTTTCTTGGTAGACATTATCTGTGTGGTATTGCCTCACAAATATTAGCCTATGATCATCAGCATCTTATCCAAGGACAAATTCTAACTGGATCATTTCTTTTACGAAAATATCGTAATTCAACAACATATCCTGTTTCTACTTTGGCACTTTTTGATGAACTTGATGGATTATGTGTAACTCGAATAACGGAATCATTTTATTTCTATTCAAAATATCCTCATTTTACAATTGTTGTAAAGGGAATGAATCATATGCAAACAGCGTCTGGTAAACCACCATCACATATTGAGAAAAACGATCTTGTAACGGAAATTAGTGATACTGACGCTCATGAACAATTAGCATCGATCATCAGTGATTATATGGGAATGATCGTAGAAAATTAAACAACAACTAATCTTTTAGAACAAATCTTAATCGTACATATCTTTTTGTTACGCCAATTGTGACTAGTTTGCAACTAGAAGAATTCTATCATTTTAAACCGCCTTGTGATAAAGATCCACCATCAGAAAATTTTCAAATAGGTAGTGTATGAAGCACTATTTCTTAGCAGATACTTGATGGATAAAGTAAAGATTTAGATAATGTAACTCTAAACGTAATAGATGCACTTCATGTTGTCTATGAAATACCAGATCAATTTCCTCATCTATTTAATAATTGTTCATCATATTCATGTATATTGCAATTAGAAACTGTTACACAAAATATTTATGATTCAACGGATACATTCGACACCGGTTTCTCTTATATATCAGCAGATGAAATGAGAATTAAAATGATGTCAAGACAATCGATCTTAGAAGCAAGTCAAATGAAAACATATAATTTCAATGAAATTGATGGTAGTTCATTGTGTAAATTAATAAATGAACATGTACTATTTTAAAAAATGCTGATAATACATTCTTAAGTCGTTATCAATCAAAAGGTAGACAACTGGTAATAGATGAAGATGATATAGTGACTACGAGACCATCATGGATATTAGGTTCATTAGTATGTTTTCTTAGATATATCTCTATATATAAAAAATACTACTGATTTGTTGTTTTTTATTTAGAAATATGTGCCTGGAGTTGACAGTCAAGGAAAACCTATTCTCACCATCAAATCATCAACGTTGAAATTACCAAGCGATTATCCAATAAAAAGTTTGGCGGGCATTCATTATTGTAAAGTTTTAAGTTCAGCTCGCGTAATCGAATGAATTTATATTGATAGTTTAAGATCGTCATCAAGTTAAGGTATACACACGTATTTAGATCATAATTAAACATTTCTAAGGTGTTTATTGAAAAATATCTACTTTTCAAAATTGTTTTATTTCAATTTTTAAATAAATAACAAAAAGACATTACTACTCTGATATATAACACGAACTTTTAATTTATTTAATTTCAATATTAAAAATAGTGAATTTACTTTTTGACATAGAGTATATTGTTTGTTCTTCTTCTCTATCTCTACCTCTTCACAGTTTAGGGAGTTAGTTGTTCTTTTGAGTTTATTATGATAGTACAGAGTGGCAGAGCTAGCACTTTTGTAGTATACTGCAAAGCTAAGTTTATATGCTCAACTCTCTCTATTTATTTATTTATACAAAATTGATATTTATATTTTTTTCAACAGTTTTAGTTTAAAATAGTACAATGAAATGTATTTCATTAATATTCTAGAAAAAAATGAAGGTTAAATCAATTGTTTTTAGTTAACTGTAGTTAAGACTATAATATAAGGATGTTATTGAATAAAGATCTCTATAATAATTTAATTTAAAATGATATTTTTGTGATTTTCTTCACTGTTATTATTCTCCTTATAAAGTTAATTGTTTAATAATGTTAGAGTATTTGATCGATAACACTGTCAGCACTAAATTTCTGCTCATCAGTTAACTTTTTTCGTGCTGAAAATCACTTTTTCTTACATTAATTCTAGAAACTAATCGAGACCATTATTAGGGAAAAACTGAATAAAAAAAGAGAAAATGAATTTCTTAAAAAAGAAAATATGAATCTTAATCTTTTGAACAAATAAACGTGAATAACATTTCAATTCAAGAGCATCTAGTAATTTACTTTTGACAGAGATTTTTTTCTATAAAAATATAAAATTTCTTTTTGAGTATGGTTGTCTACAATATCCAAAAATTCATTTCATAAAACGTTCTTTTGTTTGATTAACGTTTATTCATACTTAATGTCAAATCAAGATATTCTTCATTGAAAAATGTATCTTATTTGGTTTTTAATGAAAAAAAATTAGTAGGATCTTATTGTCGAATGAAGTACATCTTCACCAATATTGTGTTTGTATTGTATTCTATTTTTCAATTGATATAAATAACTAATAAATTATTCCAGGGATGTAAAACCTATTTTCTCTATTACATTTTCTTTCTTGTACGTGACAATTTTTCACCTTTTCGCATTTTGTTCACATATACGCACACACACACACACCGATACACACTCATGACAAGATACTCGGAAGCAGAAAACTAAATTTATTTTATGTATTTATTTATTAAAAAAGTTTTCTTTTCTTTTTCGCATTTTTTTTCTTTGTAAGTTGAAATATAACAAAGATAAATCGAGAGGACGGAAACTAAATTTTAAACTTCAAATATAGATAGTGTGCACAATGTGATTAATTGAAACTTAATATGATAGCAAATATATCTACAGTTTTTAGTTGTTGTTCTTGTGATGGATCGCATGCTGGTGTTAGATCTCATCCATCTTTTTTTTTTTTTTGTACCATTTAATAATCAATACTTTGGGTGAAATAAGAATGTTTTCAGTATTTATAATTATCTTTTTTCCTTTTTTTGTTTGTCAAAAAAAAGACAAAAAAAAAGAGATCTTTTTTTTATTTACAAAGTTCACTTTTAATTTTATCGAAAAAAGTTCTAACGATTTAACATTTTAAATAGGCACGATGAATAGACGAGAAAAAAAAGAAAATAAATTTTTCTTTATTAATAATAAATGTTAGACCAAAATACGAGTTCAATTTAATGTAATTATTGATTATAATGATATAAAACGTTTAAACGAAATATTCTACTACCATTTTGAGGTATGATTGCTGAAATTTCTTTTCCATATACACTAAGAATAGATAGATCATTTCTGCAATTTACTAATAATACTAGGAATCACAATTTCTTCTCATTCAAGTAAATAATTTGTTGAGTATTGTTGAGTATTTTTGTTGTAATTTGCAGAACAAAAGCATACATGTGTGGGCAGCAAAATGACAATTCAGTTGTTGATTGAAACAGGCAAAATATCTGGAATTACAAAGGAGTTACTTTCTCTTATTTTCATTTTTTGGTTTATTTTTTATCGGAAAAAAAAACCCAAATATAAATATCTATGCGGTGAAGCGAGTTGCATATATTATTTGCATAACTGTTATATGAGCAAGATACATCATGTCTGTTAATTATAAACGCATATGTTATAAATTCTTAAGAACTTTTTTTTTTATCGAAATTCTTTCTTCATTTAACGATTGTGTATCTAATATCTAGGAATGTTGCGAATCGATTTTATATGTTTTTAAACTTTGTCACGAATCTCTGAAATCTGAATAGATGGAGCTTTTGCATGCTTCTGTGTAAAATAAAGTGTTGGCTATCGCTGTATGATTTTCGCTTAGAATTCGGTACTCATTCAATAACAAACTTCTAATCAAGTCAGAACCTAAGCTATGTGAGAGAGTTTATTAGAACAATGCTCAGCGTTTTGTGGTCTCTTTGTTATATAGATCGAAAACCCCGAGCATAGGCTCGTAACATTCCTACTGGTATCTGATGCTTGAATCAGAGTAGTCGCCATCAGTTCATAGGCCACTTTTTGATTGTCAAATGTCTTAAATTCTCTGAATGGAGATCAACAATGGTACGAGCTTTTCAAGGCAAAAGAATACTAAAGAGAGCACGTGAAGAAATGTCAAAATACGATTAAATGTTATTTTTGATTTAAAATCTTTCTATTGACTGAGAAATTGAGTTTTTAAAATAGTTTCATCATTTTAATTTTGACATTTCTGACATAATCTGCCGTTTTTGTTTTTGGAAAGTATTGTTGACTCCAATAAATACGAGATTGAAAAATAAGCTCGTTGAACTGAGCCAGATAATATGTCATTCATTGCTTTCTATGAACTTCTTTTCGTGCAGTTCAAAATTTTCAATAAATCACTAAAAAAATTACGTTTTTGCGCTATTGTTAGGTGTGTTCAAGATCTATAAGCCTATCTTGAACAATGGAACCTTTTGATTTTAGGTTCAATCTGTAAAGAATTATGTAATGGGAAAAGGCACGATTTGTGAAAAAAGTAAAAGATTAAAATATTGATCATTAAATAAAATACATGAGTTTTAAAGATCAAAATAGTAGATTTTAAATAGTGAAAATGGAACTTTTTGAAAAAATTCAACTACGTAGTCTATAAAAGATTTCAAGCCAGGAAAATAAATTTCTGTTCGTGCTTCTGTATGCAATATCGAATAAGATTGGTTGAAAGACAAAAAATTTTCTTCGTGTTTTGAGTTATGCGGCAAATACCATTATTTATACATTCTCACCATTACCTCGTAACGAGTGTCATGACGATCTACGTGAGTTATAAACTAGAACATAGAAACACACCATAAAACCGCGATGAAATTTTTTATTTTTAAATACGTGATGCTTTATATAGAGTTGACATCTTTCACTATTGATTTGGATAAAAGTTTTTTTTTCTCATTCAATTAACTAATCAACCAGACAGATTGATATAGCTCAAACTTCATTTTATGTTCATTATTTTCTTTACTTTCTTTGCACTAAAAACATCTGTTCGGCACGTAACACCTGTCGCGGTTCATAAATAAATGACAAAATGGCAATAAGACTATTTTTGAGAAAAGAATATTTTAGTCACTTTCAAGATGAAAACTATTTGCTCTATTTAAATTTGTTTTTCACATCAAATAAAATTGACACATACTCGTGCTATGCTGTTGTTTTTAAAGCTGATGTATAACAAGCTACCGAATGTCAAGTGTAGCAGGAACATGTACGTGTAAATAGAAAATATGTTAGTTATTATTTTATTTTTTCTGTCATTCGATATTTTATGATATACACACGCTGCTACTGCTATCTTATTTTTTGTAATGGTGGTACTGCATGCAGAGCGTGCAGAAAAAAAGAAGAACATCACCATCATCAAAAAGAAGGTATCTTCTAAGGCCTAGAATCTAAAACTAAACCTTTTAATTAATAACCTTTATTTATTAAAAGCACATCATTTTGAATTTGTATTTATTCTTATCTACTTGATAAACGAGTTCATACAGGCGTATTATTCTCATTATTGTTATTACTAGAAATTGCAAAAAAAAACACCTGGTTGCAGTGTCAATGAATATGTTACACAACATCTCTCACCATTGATCTGGTACTGGAAATATGATTAGAAATGTTGGAAATGAGTGAGTATATTGTCATTGTCTGTTAAATGCACTCATAAATTGTGTGTTGTGATGTGATTTTTGAGTTTAGAGTATAATATGAGCAACTAAAAATATTTTTTGACCATATAGCAATATTGAACATAGTAGAACAAAATTAATAAGAATTCCATTTTTTTGTTGTATTACACATCTGCCTCATTCTGATGTGGAGAAAAAATTTTCATAGTAATAACTCAACATTTCTTTGTTTAGCTAGAGAATAAGAAGGCAGCCGTAAACCACATTTTATTACTCTTTTGTATAAATATCAACAAGAGAACAAATTAATTTATATTCATAAGATATCAACTACGAGGCGGAAAACAATTTTGTTTTTGAACATCCGTTGATAAATTGATTTTCTTTGCTTTCTATATTATTTGTGACGCAAATAAACTTCTGTCTTTTATCTTTTTTCAACGTATTTGTTTTTCTAGATCTATCTACAACAGGCATGTTATAGCTCAACATAGTATCTAGCGTAACAAGTCGATGATAATGAAATAGACACACTTGCTATGGTGTGAAACATCTTAAGTTTCCTTCTTTTTTTTTTGTTAATAGCTTTGTTTTCATTTCCCTAGTTGAACATCCATATAGTTTTGTAAATTTAGAATGGCATGAAATTTGTATGAGTAAAAAGAAATAATTGTGAATATTTCTTTTTTGAATCAGAGAAAACTGGAAATTGTATTTTTTTTTTCTTTTTTTCTTCTATGCAATTAGAAATCATCAACATACTTGTTTGTTACTTCCAGCAGTAAACCTGACAAATAATTTTTTCTTTGGAGAAAAATACTGCATACAAAATGAACATACACACACACACACATAGACATACACACAAAGTGTTAGAATTCATAGCCATTGTTTTTTCTATAACAGATGTTTTATTCAACTGTCATGGTGTACGTCACTTCATTAGTTTCCATAATTTATCATGTATTTTGGTATAACTAAATCCTGTTTAGCTAGTTGAAAAATGCCAAATAGAAAAGTCAATGAAAAACAGTATGTATGATGCGATGCGCTTTCTTTATTATTTTCTACTTATTATAGATTCAGTCAATTTTACGATGACAAATCGCTAAATTTTTTTATGATTTAATTTAATAGTAGAAAAAAAAAGGAAGGAGTTTTACAGTTCGTTAGAGCAAACATGGTACCTTTTCTTTTTTTTTAAAAATGTTATTCTGCTTAAATGCGTAAAATATGAAATAAATATTTCAGTAAAAAATTTTTCGCCCTAGAACCATAATGAAAACTTGTTTATTATTCTATAATGAAATTCCGATATAAACAGTAGCTAATTTCCTTGTTTTTCTAACAAATTGAAATATACATTGTTTACATGTTTTATTATACACCTCGATAGGTTTTACAGGTTAATCACGCAACAAATGATGACAGTATCAGATTATTATATTTTAGAAGGAAAGTTAATAAATCAGTTTATTTGTCATCAATTGTATAAAAGACAAGGTTTGTTAACAATGTTAAAAGTCAAATTTTACATCTTTTGTAGAGAGAGAAAAATGTACATGACGCAGTAATCATTATATTATTCTAATTATACAATACTCGTTTTTTTACTTGTTCTTGAATATACGTTATTTTTATTCGAACAAAATAGTAATTGAAAAACATTCTTTCAAAAAAAATATATGATAAGTAAGTTGAATAACATCAGATCATTGTTTTTTTTTTGTATTTTAAAATATAACCGTCTACTTAGATTTTGTTCATGAAATCTCTCTTCTTCTTTTGTTATCGAAGAACGAAGTTGATAATTATTTGACGCGTCAAAAAACCTAACCATGATATTGTTAATTTATATTCAATTATAAATAATATAGCATATTTAGGAATAATAAATTACTTAAAGACAAGAAGTTCCTCATTATCTAACGTCTTATTCTGGGTTAACATGACCCTTTGAAATTTATTTCATATATTTCTTGAGTTTCAAAATATGAAATGTTGCTTTTTGAGAAATAAGAAAATATAAACTAACAAAAAACGATTGACCATCTAGGTAATATTAATTAGATTGACAATTTTAATATATAATACATTGTCTTAGCACTATTCTGTAAACATTTTCATAAGTGTATATTATTCAATGAACTATATAAAAGAGTTACATAGTTAATCTTATTTACAACTTATACGTTTCAATTTATTCTTTATTCAAATTGAGTCGGCGATCTTTTATATTTGCCGGAGGAAGACTAAGTGGCGTTTCCTGTTCTTGACAAAGACTAAGAATCAATTTCTGTCAAAATTGATTAACAAATGTTTTGAGATTATCAATGTACAGGAAACACACTACAATAAATATTTTACACTAGCACACACATTATAACCAAAAAGAAAAAAGAAGATTGAGAAAATTCCATATGAATAGCTGAATCGAGTCAATTTACACGCTTAGAGTTATTGATGTTACAGTTGCACATCTCTCTTTCCCTGCCTTTTTTCTTCCCCCTACTATATTAGGAATCAAAATATGGTGTACAAAAAAAAAAAAAAAAAAAAACTTACTGCCACTTTTTTTCTCTATGTCTCAATATAAATTACTTCTTTTTTTTTTTTTTTCTTCTTTCTTTACTTCATACATAAAAAAACTGAAAATTTTTTTTTTATTGAATAGATCTGTAATAAGTAAATAAAATATGAACAGACAATGGGCAACTAGTAATAGGGGTTTGTGAACTTTTTCTCTTCTAATTAATTATTTATGTATTAAAGATTACTATATTTCATAATATTAGAATAAAAAAAAACGTTTTTTTTTTTTTTTGACGAATACCAAACGAAACATTTTAGAAAGAGAGAAAGAAAAGACGTAGACGTAGAGAATGTGAAAAAAGAATTTTTTTGTAAATAAGATTTTCTTTTTCAAATGATAGAGACAGATATTACATGTTAAGAAATATTTGAATTATGACTTATTGTTCACACTAATATACCAGGTTATGATATCGAAAATATTGTAATGAATGAAAATTTTTCCTCTCTAATTAGCCGATTAAAATTGTTCATGAACGAATAAGGGATGGTTCATAATAAAAGGTAATATATTCATTTTGAAAAGAAGAGGATATGTATGTTTCTTACTATTTCTATAAATAGAAAACTGACTCTGTCACTCAGGTTAGCTGTAGATAATGGTAATCAATAATAATCTTTTCTTTTTTTCGTTTTTTTACTCTAGTCCAATAATGGACGAGAAACACGATCAAACAATAGCGATGTTAAATGAAGGTTATCCACGATCTCGGCCAACTCCTAAAACTGCATTTGGAAAGGTTTGTAATAGTCAATGAATTATAAATGATCAATATTTTAATAATAATAAATTATTTCTTTGTTATTTAATTAGTTTTTCCGTATGTTACGTAAAAATTTATTACTGACATTAACAATTGCTGGAGTCTTTTTCGGCCTATTAATTGGTTTTATAACTCGATTAGCAAGCCCATCGTCAGAACAAATAATGATACTTTCATTTCCTGGTGATATTTTAATGAGAATGCTCAAAATGTTGATATTACCACTTATAACGTCCAGTTTGATAACAGGTAATATTTTTCTATGTCTTTTATGTATAGTATATATTAATTATCTCATTTTATTCTCAAATCTCAGGTCTTGCCGTCCTTGATCCAAAATCTAGTGGAAAAATGGGTCTTTATGCATTGACATACTATTTTTGTACAACAGTTTTGGCAGCAATACTAGGCATTGTATTAGTATCAACAATTAAACCGGGTGAAAGAAGTAATGCGGCTCAAGTACGATCGCAAATTGTTGGTGATGATCCAAAAGCTGATCAAGTGAATACACTTGATGCTATACTCGATTTATTACGGTAAATGAATTTTCTAAATATTTATAACTAAGACAAAAATTATAACAAAAATAACTATTTTCTGACTATAGTAATATGTTTGCCGAAAATATAATTCAAGCTGCATTAGAACAAGTGAAAACAACAAGAGGTGATGAAAAAAGAAAACATATCAACATTTGAATTACAGAATGACAAATTGAAATTGATAAATTTCATACTTTTAGACATGGAACTTGAAAATGGAACATTATCATCAAATCGGGTAAAAATAAAATTTCACACAAGATATATCGCTGGATCTAACTTTTTAGGTTTGTATAATTTTCATTTTTTACGATTATTCATTTTTACTATTTGACTTTAAAAAAAAGTTTATACGAAAAAAAAAAATATATTTTATTTTTAAGGGATGATTACATTTTGCTGTGCATTCGGTATTGTAATTGGAACTTTGGGAAAACGTGGTGAGCCAATGTTACAGTTTTTTATCATACTCAATGAAATTGTTATGAAATTAATTAAACTTGTCATGTGGTTAGTTAGTAAAAATATATTTTTATTAAATTTTTAAATATTTTAAAAAAAAATAATTTTTTGATATTATTCTAGGTATTCTCCTATTGGTATTATGTTTCTTGTTGCTGGAAAAATATTAGAAATTGATGATTTAGCCAAATTAGCAAAGAGTTTGGGCATGTATGCTGTCACTGTATTAGTCGGTTTAGCTATACATGCTCTCATTACATTACCACTTATATTTCTGGTGATAACAAGAAAAAATCCGTTTCTATTTTATAAAGGTGTATTACAGGCGTGGCTTACGGGTATTGGTACGGCATCAAGGTAAAAATATTAAATATAATTTTATATTAGACATTTAAATAATCTAATTCATATTATATTGTTTTTAGTGCAGCAACATTACCAGTAACATTTCGATGTCTTGAAGAAAATTTAAAATTAGATCGACGTGTTACACGTTTTGTATTGCCTATTGGAGCAACAGTAAATATGGATGGAACAGCATTATACGAAGCAGTGGCACCTGTTTTTCTTGCACAATTAATGGGTCGTACACTTGGCATTGGTCAACTAATTGTTGTCAGGTAATATTAATATAAAAAATTTTTTAAAATAATAAATTAATATTTTTAATTTTTAATTCTTCAGTATTTATGAAAAAAAAAAGTATTTTAATTTTAGTTTAACAGCTACTGTGGCATCTATTGGTGCAGCTTCAATTCCATCTGCTGGTTTAGTTACAATGTTACTTGTTATGTCAGCAGTGAATATACCAGCTAAAGAGATAACAATCATATTTGCCATTGACTGGGCTTTGTAAGTAATGTTTGTTCTTTTTTCTTATTTTTTTTTTTTTTTATATTATTTTTAATATAAAAATATTTTTCTCATTTAATCAAATTTACACAAAATCTAAATATATAAGACCTAACAAAAAGTAAAGGTCTTTTTTATATTCTACAATGGTTGAATAACCTTATTGAAAAGAAGATTAAGCTTGAATGAATAAATAAGTTCGACTTAAAATATTACAATAATTTAATAGTCCAATGAAGACTAGTTACATTAATAAAAAAAATTTTTTTTTCCTACTGTTATATTTATGTTTATTTTTTTTTTAAGAGATCGTGTTCGAACATCAGTAAATATTCTTGGAGATGCTATTGGGGCCGGAATTGTCGATCATTTATGTAAAGATGATCTAGCACATGATATTGAAGAAGGTGGACATCATGGAGGAGAACAATTAAATGATACAATAAGAATAAATAGTGCTCACGAAATAAATGAAACATCAAAATTATAATTTATATTAAATAAAAATTTATTTGTACACTACCATTCATGATATATTGAAATATTATCTCTCAGGTACAAGTAATAGAACGTAAATGAGCTGAAATTAAAGATATCACAATAATTAAAAACACAAAAAAACAAAAAAAAAATAAAATAAAATAAAATGAATCCATTTTTTTTCTTTTTCTGTTTGCCTCTATATACTGTAGTATTTGACAGAATAAATTTTTCTGTACCATGTAAACTAACGCTCATGATGATAATGATAATGATGATGATGATACAGATAGAAACGTACAGAAATCTCTTTTTCTCTCTTTTACTGTTGTACAGTTCTATGAAAATTTATTTTGCCGTTTCTTAAATATGTCCATCGTTTCATCGTATTTATCGTGTTTATATATCCCCCTTTCGTTTCTACAACGTATTAAATAGCATTTTCCTATTTTTACGTTTTCTATATTTGTATAAAGTACTGATTGTATGTATGTATTAAATAATTTTGTTCTGTTTATTGAACAGTATCTTTATAGTGAGAAGAAGAATAGTGTGTATTTTTTTTTTTTTTTTAATGTATTCACTCGCATTCTCTCTGGTCCTTGCCGTTTTATTTTTGTCAATTAAACTATTTTTATTGTAATTGTGTTTTAAAGAATAAGTTGTTGCTTAAATAATCTAACGGCTTATAATCAATACATTCGCCTCCGTGATCAATTTACTATATATAAGATAACATCTATTTATTCCTATTTTATATACTTAAACATCTTTTAGAAGTAGAAATAGAAAAGGTCGACTAAATCCGAACACTTTTATACTCTCTCAACTAGATAAAAATAATTTTAAAAAGAAAAATTATGTATAACAAATTAAAAAAATAAACGTTTTGACATGAAAATAGTTTGATTACCTTAATCACTTATATATATATTCAAAAAATACCATGTTAAGATTATTTTAGACACAATTACGTTATTGTTCAATCAAGTATCTCTCCTTATAATAATAACATTTGTCAGGTTTTCTGAATGACATCACATGACATTACATATTGAATGACATTACCACTGAACACTGTTTTATCTAAAATTATATTATGTAGTGTATGACAGAATTGACAACGAAAATCGTTTTTTTTTTTTTTTTTTTATAACAAGAGTGAAAAAAGTTATCGTTGCAAAGAAAAATAATCATAGACTATAAGCTGAAAAGAATGAATGGTAGAGACACTAATTTCTATGGAATAACATCATATCATTTATGGTAAATTCAAAAGGTAAAATTTTTCTCACAATTGATATATATATATACAGAGTGTTACATAACCTTGGGAGGAGTACAGCAAAGAAGATGAAGGCTAGTACCTTGAATTATATATAATGTTTGAAGTTTATTTTTTTTCTGATTTTAGATTAATTTTTTAAAAATGATATGGCTGGTGTCGTTGCCGACAGTGAAGAACAACGTGTGATAGATCGAATTCGTGCATATGACTTTCGAGAGGCAATTTAAAGTGGTGCCTGTTTCATCAGTTGAAAGTGAATCACTTGAAAATTGCATCGCAGTGAAAGATGGATAACAGATAACTGGAAGAAAGAATACGATTTGTATTGCACAGAATCGTATGGTGACGTCAGACCTGAAAAACTATTACAAGAGAGTAAAAACATTGTGTTGACAGGGAGTGAAAAAAGATGATGATGCTTTTTTGTGTGTTTTGGTATCACATGAAATGATTTTAGTCCCTCTTTAACATGAAATCTATGAATCGAAGAGGGATTGAGCGTCATCATCTTTTTTCACTCCCTGCCAACACAATGTTTTTACTCTCTTGTAATAGTTTTTCAGGTCTGACGTCACCATACGATTCTGTGCAACACAAATCGTATTCTTTCTTCCAGTTGTCTGTTATCCATCTTTCACTGCGATGCAATTTTCAAGTGATTCACTTTCAATTGATGAAACAAGCACCACTTTAAATTGCCTCTCGAAAGTCATATGCACGAATTCGATCTATCACACATTGTTCTTCATTGTCGGCAACGACACCAGCCATATCAATTTTAAAAATCAATCTAAAATTAGAAAAAGCTCCTAGTACTTCGGGCCAAGTACTTGGACTAAGTACTTCGAAGCTGGTACTTGCCTTTTTTCCAGAATTAAATTCACTTGTCAGTACAGGGTAGTAAATAATATTATTCAAGGGGGGGGGAACGCTATAATTCTAAATTGGAGATATGATGAATTTTATACCAAATGAAAGCCCGTGAAAAATGGGATTTAGTGATGCGAAATCACTAAATAAGACTTTGAAG